AGATACAATCCAGGAACATGACATCTTTCTCTATGCAAACTTTTGGCCATTATATTCATTTTTTTAGGGCTGCCATAACAAAGTACCACAGACTGAGAGTTGGGTGGGATCAAACAACAGAAATTTATTTGTTCATATTTAGGAAGGCAAGAAGTCCAGGATCAAGGTATTGGCGGGGTTGCTTTACTCTGAGGCCTCTCTCCTCAGCTTGTAGACAGCATCTTCTTCCTGTTTCTTCACACGGTCTTCCCTCGGTACGTGTCTGCGTCCTAATCTTCTCTTTGGACAAGGACGTCAGTCATACTGGATTAAGGTGCACCCAATATGACCTCATTTTACCTTAATTACCTCTTTAAAGGTCCCATCTCCAAATACAGTCACATGCTAAGGTATTGGGGGTTAGGACTTCAATGTATGAATTGAGGGTGACACAAGTCAGCCCATAACAGACACACTGCACATTTTTGGGGGTGATATGTTTATTCTCGGAGCTTGTTCTTGCTTGTCTGCAAGGATCAATAGGGTCTTATTCTAGGGAACAGACATAAGGTGTAAAATGTCTAGAACTTAGTCTATATTCACTTGAATAGTATTTCTGAGCACCTGGTGAAACCCTCTCCTTTGAGGAATATAAAACAGCTTCAACAGTTGTGGCTTTGAAAAGCACACAATACAGCCCCGGTATGTAGTCTCTATTCCATCTATGTTTATTCAGTACTAATCAACTGAACTAACAAATTAACTGGCCATTTGGTCAAGTTCTCTAAAATAACATCCTCACTGAAGTCTCATGTTAGTCCCAAGATGCTGTAGGAAGGGGCTGGAGTGAGTGCAGCAGAAGGATGCTACTTTTGACACAGGGTTTACATCACTGGGGGGTTTGAGAATTTGGAAGCTGTCTAATCTGCTGGAAATCACACTGAACTGTCACTTTAAGGGGCCAACACAACAGGAAAGGTTGAGCTAGTCAAATGATTCGACCAACTTCCTTTTGATCCACTCCTTTAAGTGCTAAACTGAAGATCAGCTATGTCCTTAGAGATAAACAGTGTGTCTTATCCACTTTAATAACTAATCTTCCAGTTTGATTTGATGGCCAAACACATTATTATTTTTCAGATCGGTAGTCCCTCTGGCATCTCTTTCATTTGGGCCTTTCAGATAAGGTTCCCGAATGGTCATCTGCCCTGGAAGCAGATACCGCATCCTTTACGAGAGTTTTATAATGTAATAGGTTCTTGTCACTATATTAATAAAATCAGAGCTCTTCTCCCCACATCCTAGGGAAAGTTGGGGTGTCTTTTACTCTTTTTTATTACAACAGTAAAAGAAAGTTGGAAAGAAGCTTTAAAAGTGCCTAGAAAAAACTACAAGGTAAACATGCACTTGCTCTTCAATACGCAAAGAAGTACCTCTCTACTCTTAATGTCACTACTCGCTTCTGGATAGTTCAAGTTATCTACGGTCACATTTCAATCAGCACAGTGAGTTTAGTTAAAATCAGAGCAGATATTGCAACTTCTGTTTATACCAATCTGTAGGGCAATATTTGAGGAAAGTGGCCATTGAACTAATAAACGTGCCTTTTTCCCGAGGAAATTACTAGGATCTGCTGTCACTATCAAAGGTGCATCTTTTAATTCTCCATTTTAAGAAAGACTGTTCCTAATAGTAATTATCTAATTTTTTTCTTTCAAATATAATCAGCTTGATATAGATGTTCTTACTCAAAATAAATATAATACACAAAAGACCCTGCAAGAAACGGCATTTCAAGATGGCCTTATTCCAACATGTAGATAAATGTCTTGGTGATCTCATAAAAGTCACATAGTGTTTGGATTTTAGAGCTTGACCCATCTTCAATTCTGTTTCCATGCTTTAAGCCAAAAGCCATGACCAAAATGAATTTAAGAAAACCTAATTAGAAGGCCAGGAGAAATCAGCACGATTATCAGAGTAAGGATTGCGAGATGTCATGATTCAGCCAGTCTTCTTCCCAGTACTGGACTCCAGCATGTCAAGTTTCTACTGATGCCCTCACACATCCTAGTATGCCCAGCACAAACCCCACAACAAAGAATTATCTAGTGCCAAGTGTTAATAGTGCTTTACTGTTGAGAAACCGTGCTCTGTTGAAAAAAGGGAGAAGCGTAAGACGTCACCACCGCTAACGGTTTATTTATAAAGTGTCTATCAAACAATACAAATGTGTTTATAATGATACCTGTTGTGCTCACTTCAGCAGCACATATGATAATGATATGTGTTACAACCAAGATACAATTATGGTCAGTTCATTTTGTATATGGACATAACTGCATGTTTAGATAAATCACAATGGCCTTGGAAAATATTCCTTAAAGCCCTCCGGGTAACAAGTAATCTTAAACTTGGTTGGTTATGAAAAAATTTAATATAAAAGTTAGATTTTATATTTCAAAAGATTCTTTCCAACTGCTTGCCATACTATTTATTTAAGCTACTTGTAGAGAGCTACACATTGTTTTGCTTTCTTTTTTTAAATGAAGACTACATAGTAGGAATGCTGGTTTAAGTAACACAAGTCAATAATATCAACATGTCATTTCAAGTGCATATCATCAAACGGTATTTATTGGTATTTTCTTTTTTATGTATATTGAAATATCCCATTTTCACAATCACTTGAATTAACTGATGTTTATCTGGAGGGGACAAATATCAGTGGTCAAGCCATTGTTTGTTCTTGTTGTTTTCTTGCTCCAGATAAAACCACTCTCTTTTTTGACCTACTGAACACTTTCTTTTGGCAATCTTGAACCTGTGCATCAGAATGGCATTTTGTCTTGGACTTTTCTGATAAATATTTGGTAAAGATAGTTGTGTGTATGAGAACACGTGTGTGTGTGTGTGTGTGTGTTTAGGTTTCCACTTAAAGTTCAGTGCCAAAGCTACAGTACTTATACATTTTCTAAATGTGTTTTAAGCAATAAGTTGTACAACATTTTTAGAACATGTGTTAAGCTATTTCTCTAAGAATGAAGCTCTTAACAAAACATAAGCACTCTGCATGAGATCTTAGCAGCAAAGTGCTTAAAAGATAAAGTAAGAATTGGTACCATGGGAAGAACACCAGCTGTAGAGCGCACAGGTCCATTATGAGAAGTATGGTAGTGGGTAGGGAGAAAATGATTTAATCAGGAGTAAAACCAATTTTATTATAAGGGCACGCAGGGGGTGTGGCACCATAGTGAGAGGGACATTTCAAAATATCTGACAGATTTCAACAATGTGAAAACCCCGTTCTTTAAAGTGACAGTAAACCCCATCAGGTCTCCCTTTTTGATGCTATTGTTAACAGTTGACTGTTTAAAGCTGGCCTGCTAAGATGCTGTCGGCCTATTTCAATAGTATGTAGCCAAATAAAAGACTAATTGTTGAAATACAATCAATCAAAAATGATTACAGGGCAGAAAGAAGGTCTCCTCCGCTGATTTTGTTGTGGATCATATTATTGTGTTATGACTGAGGTAAGAATGAAGACTGAAAGGGAAGAAGAAAATAGCGCATCTGAAATAAACAGATGCACCTTCTCCTTCTTTCCTTCTCTTTGCAAATGTCCTATTGAACAGGAACGTCACTTCCCAGCCCTGGAGATAGTAGTCCATTTAGAAAAAGAGATCTGATAAAGATTTTGGCTAAGATTTTAAAAGGACACGAACACTATTAACAAAGCAGCCCGTGCAGAGATACCCCACAGTGACAATTCTCAGCTTTTCTCACATTTTTGGTGCAGATTCTCCTCTGCCTCTTAAAACTGACACCAAGGGGGCATGTGAATGCGAACCCAAGACATCGGGAAAGAAACAAAATTCCGGTGGACCAGATACCTGTGAAGTTCTGGCCAGGGTACCAGGCTTTTCAGTTAACCGCCCCCTCCCAGGTTGTTTAAAACGATTAGCTTTAGTTTTTATTCAGCCCAGAATTCAAAATCTTTTTCACGTTGCATGCTTACAAAGACAAATACAACAGCAATGCTTTTCTGCCTTGCTTCCTTTTAGTGGTGTGTAAAGATGTCCCTTTTAGACCCTGCCACATCCACTTCTTGGGGGAGAATGATTCCAGACTTTCCTTTTGAGGGCGAACAAGAAGAAAATAATTGTCCAGGTTTTCCTTATTTCTTCTAAAAACTTCATTTTGGCATTTATGTTCTTTAGTATTTAAATGTCTCAACTCACTCAAGCTTCCCAAGCAAACATGTCTGTTGTTTCTAGACGGAGTTGGTAAGCACTTGTGGTTTGTCTTTAGAGTGTTATCATTTTTGACAGCTTTGCATAGCCTCCGTAGGCCAACAGGGGTCTGTCTAATATTGTTGCTGGGCACATTTTCCTCGCTGAGATGAAAACTAAAAAAAAAAAAAAAAGGTATTTTTGAAGCAGTAAGAAGGAATTAATATCCTTTCTCACTCAGTATTCTATTCCTTGCTGACTTTATATTCAGCAAAAAAAAAGCAAAAAAGTGTTACCCATTATTCCCTTGTACATAGCAAGGCTAACACATGTAAAGCAATAACTCATTTTCTATTGCCATGTTTAGCATATGTCTCCTGTTGGCTCAGCAAGGCCTTTAGGCCGGTCCCTTGAGCCGGCCATCATTGGCAACTCTTAGCCCCTCGGCCTCAAAACCAAATAGCTTTGAATCATGTGGAGCTGTGATGCTAATTTTCATACTGATGCATTATGGGAATAAATGTATCTGACATACTGTGTCAATGGCACTGTCTCTTTGTGTCTCTTGTTTTTTTGTTAGCTGCATTCCTACAGATGGTATTCCATTGAAAATGTTCCCTTCCTACGGAAAAAGGGGAAAAAAAAAAAAACATGCACAGCACCAAACCTCTAGGTGCAGAAGGCTGTTAACGGTTGCTGATGATAGTAGGCAAACATTAACATAATAATTAGTGTCTTGTAATTGTTTCATTAAAACCAGTTGTTCCATTTCTCCTCGTGTTTTCCCAGAAGAGAAGCTGAATTTGGACGACAGCCAGTGGGAGGACATCCACGTTGTCACCGGAGCGCTGAAGATGTTTTTCCGGGAGCTGCCTGAGCCGCTCTTCCCTTACAGCTTCTTTGAGCAGTTTGTGGAAGCGATCAGTAAGTAACCTCACAGACTGGAGCGCTTGGTGGAGGAACCTGGTGGCGTGGAGTTATTAAGGAAACAATAAGAAGGACAAGAATAGTGATCGTGGAGATGATAAAGACCCCCAACGCTCCACATGTTTCATTTGCTGTGTTGTGTTTTTGATGGCTTATTTTTATTTCTGGCCCTGCAATATTATCTGAGTTTTGTTTTGGATTTTGGTTTTTGGTTTAAAAAAAAAATAGGGTAACCTATTTAGAGTGGTTGCTTTTCAACTAAAACCTCCTCAAATGAAAAGAGCTTCTCACGGAACCAGTTTCGAAGGGATCACCTTTGGCATTCTCAGCACCTATCTTTCAGAGTTTGGGGATTGGCAAGGAGTTTGGGTACAAAAGGGTCTTGAAAAAGAACTTAAGTAACTTTCATTTTGTTTCATTAAAGAGGTGTTAAATCATCAACTCAGGCATCACCTTCTCAAGGCTCCCTCACCCTCCACCCACCAATACTAGTAAATAGCTACAATTTGCTTATGAACAGTGTGATATTAAATTAACTACTGGCAGGTTTCTTTGGTTAAGCTGGTGACTTTGTAGGAGGTTGAATTATATCACATACTAACCAGTAGTCATTGTACACTCACTCCAGGAAGCTTCTTTTTCTATTGTTTTTGCATTCAGAACACACACACTTAAGTCAAAATGAGTAAATCAATGAGTGAATGAATAAAAATCTTTCCAAATGCAAGGAAACTTTTGCTATTGATGCTTCGAGAAGCAACTACTAGTACATCTAAATTTAGTATCTTAGGGTACACTTACTATAATTGTGGCAGCTTAAAAAATGTTTCCTGGCAAGAAAGCTGATTTGAGGAGGAAAAAGAAAGAAGAAAGAAAGGTAAAATTAAAAAGTTTGCAAGCCTTGCAGGAGCTTAATTAAAGTCCAAACGAGAAAAATCTCCAAGAAAAAAAAACTGCTCTGCTTAGGAGGTCTGATAGAGGATGGCCGTGTGTGCAGTGTTCCCATTAGTGGGCGTGGGGGCTTGGGGCGCCCATGTTGGAGAACAGCCCCTCAATATGCCCTTTATTCTGTTGCCCATTTCACAAATCTTCATACTTGTTTAAAGTTCTGGTCACCAAATGATATCAAGAGGAATATAGCAAAGTTATTTCCCCAAGGTCTTTCTCTTGTGTGCTCACAACATCGGATTTTGTTGTTGTCATTGTTGCTCTTGTTGAATATAGCCTCAGGTTCTCTAACGATGGGTTTTGAGGTGAGGCTGGGCCTCTTAACCCCTGTCTTTTTATTTCATGGAGCTTTCTGCTTCTCAAGGAGAACAGTATTTTATGGTTCCCAGGCTTAACTTTTTAAAAGGAGGAATAAAGAAAATAATAAATAAGCATGCATTTCCATAACAACTTATTCCGACGTTCTGTCTTGGAACGTGGCTGGCGAGCATGAAAGATTACTGGCAGTGTTAGCACAGTGTTCTGGTAGGAAGTCAGGAAACTTGCATTTCAGTACCTATTTCGATTATGTATCTTTAAAGAAGTCATACAAATTTCACATCACGGCCTCCAGACTTTTAGGTGAGGATTATGTTATTTGTAAACATACCTGTACATGTGCTGATTTGAGGACTGTGATATAGAAACCCATCGTTTAAGCTTCCTTTAGTTCACCTGATTCTAAAGATACAAAGCAAGCCATTCCCTTAGTTTGAGAGATAGGGGAAGCACAGGGCCCTCAGAGGGCATGTGAGGGCATGTCCTTTGAATTTCTACGAAGAGTAGGACCATCCCTGCACGATCGTAGACTCAACCCTCACTTAACAGAACTTCAGAAACACTGGCATAGTCAGAATGGAACAAGGCAGAGTTGAAGTGGCAGCATGCTATCGTGACGGATGGCTATTGAAAGAGTTTTCGGCAACATGTATAAAATGGGTTATGGCAAAAACGAAAGAGGTAGTGCTTAAGAAAAGTCCTTTAAAACTGTAGGATACCGTACAGATGCTAACAGTGTTTCTTCAGTTGAGCTTTGTCTGAGAATGTAATATAGAAACAAGGAGGTAGTTTTTCCTTCATTGTTTAAGGCAAGGAGAATCCACCGAACTGCCTTGCTTTACCTAACTCAAAAGAGTACCTATTATTTCTTACTATGTAAAATGGAAGGACTAACCAACAGGGTTGTATGGTGGAAAACTATGTCAAGATGTTGGACAGAGACATAAGTTTACTAACCCATGTGTTTTAGCAGAATCTTGAAGTCAGTTCTGGTGTTCTAAACTCAACTAAACTCAGCTCTAGGTTGTAGTTCATATTTAAATATCCTTAAGCAATGAGAGAATGGCCACCCCCCCCCCTTTGGCAATGGTAAAACTTACACCAGAGTAGGTATTTTTACCCCACTGTGTACCAATCGAGTAAAAAATCTTTCAAAACTATAAAGACATTTATATCCAGCCCCAAAGGGGCAATGGGTTTTATTGTACCTCTCACTGCTTCCTATAAAATCTACACAGTCTTAAAAGATAAAGTAAGAATTGGTACCATGGGAAGAACACCAGCTGTAGAGCGCACAGGTCCATTATGAGAAGTATGGTAGTGGGTAGGGAGAAAATGATCTAATCAGGAGTAAAACCAATTTTCAATAGACCTGCCCGTGAGTTCTTGGCCTTCTTTTGAAAAGGAAACAACCAGGTAAAGGAAATTCACGGGGAAGATGTCCATCCATGCTGGTTCTGGGCCTCTCAGCCATCCGATCTCTGCCCCTCACACTGTGCTCTGTAACCTAGGAGGGTTGACCCCAGCGAGTTACATTTCACAGGTGCTCTTGAGGGCTGGCTTCCTGCTGCCACAGCCAGTGGAGGCCCTGGAAGTACAGAGCAGAGGGAGAGGGAGGGAAAAGACCAACTGGTTTGCTGGTTGATCCTCCACCCCCTCTCCCTTGCCCACCCACCTGCCTCAGGTAGTTTCTCTACCTGAGGGTCCATCTTGTCCATGGTTTCAGCTTTGACTGGAGAGGCCCGCTCTGGTTCCAGCTGCCATCTAGTGATGCGGAATCTCCTCTCTTTGCCGGTCCAGCCTGGTAGTAGCTTCCTGCAGGGGCTGGTTTCTTTGTTAATTCACTCTTCCTTACTGGGCTCTCAGCTTCTTCATCACATGGGTAACCAGTTCCCTGCATCAAATTAATTCCCACTGTTTGTGTAAATACTTGAAGTGGTTTCTGCTCTTTGGTCAAACACTAGCACACCACCATGTCAGTCAGTGTTACGGTTCATGTCGCTATAACATTATTTCCCTTTTCTCTTTCATTACCCCCAATCCCAGGCTTAACATTTTTATTTAGGAGAGATTGAGAGATCTGTTATCCTTTCATGACAGAGTTTAAAAGTGAATAGACCAAAAGGAATTTTACTTCCAACTGGAATGCTTTGCCCTCTGAGGAGGAAATGTTATTTCATGTACAAGCAATTAATGACCACTTGTGCCATTGGAATTACTGTTAATTCTCGTTATATGTTTGAAAGTCATCATTACATATTCCGAGAAAAAAGAACAGAAGGCATTTACTTTTTTAAATAGTTTCTTTTTGGACCAAACCCAAATATTAATATGATAAAAACCTGTAATTGCCATAGCGATCCCCTGTCTGATAACACTCACTGGGGTAACAAAAACACAAGAGATTGTTTTATATTTCAGAATCCAAGTAGTGCAGCTATTGATCTGAAATTCTATATTTGAGGTCAGTGCAACTGGGTCACTGCAGGTTATTTCTTGGGGATTTAACCCACTGACTGCAAGGACTTAATTCCCTGGAAATGACTTTTGCTGAAAGCAGTATTAGTACTCTAAATGTGAACTCAGGACAAAAACACGGCTCTAGAGTTTTATGATCTGTGATGCAATCTTGGGGCTAAAGTCCTGCAGGGGGTCTGGACATTTCCAGTATATCTAAATCCTAGGAAATGTACTAAGCTTACCTCTTTTCCTATTTTATTCATTCTGGTAGCTGTACATATCCAAAGAATGGAGACAAGTATTGTCTTTTCTGATTTAACGTCTGCATTTTCCCCAAGTGCCTGGGATAGGGAAAGAGAGGAGAAAAACTTGTTGTCATTTTTCACAATTATCTCACTTAACCCTCAAAATAACAAAGCAGGAGATACTAGAGAAGTAGAAAGATCCTGTGGAAAAGAATTTCTAGTTCATAATGTTACTACGAGAATTAACTAGGATAGCATTTTCCTTACTCTATATTAGGTACTCAATCAATAACTTGAAAGAGATAAATTCTTCAGAGGAGTAAAGCGAGTCATAAAATATTTCCCAAGTTCACATGGCTCAAAAGATTAGATTTAGCATTCAGTTCCAGACTCTAAAACATAAATACTTTCCATCATCATACATTGCCTTTGGGGGACTATTTAGAAGAAATCTTGCTCAAAGGATAACTAATTAGCTGTTGACAAATATCTGTCTGTTATGTCTTCCTATGTAAGACCTGTATGTCTTATATAAGTCCACAACCAATTTCTTCTTTCTTTTTTGTTTTTAACCAAGATTAGGATTAAATTTAATGATCAGAAGTTTTGATAATGGAGTTTTAAGTTAGAAATAAGGTAGAATTTTCCAAGGATGGGCAGTGTTGGCAATATTTAGTACTCAACATTAAAAGCATCTGTACTTTAACGTTATACTCTCTGAATATATTTTTAACCTTTTACTCTATTATTTTTTATAACCAATTGCTCACCCATCCTCTTTTGATACATATTTAGCTATACACTATGTTATTTTACTCTTTCATACGAGTAACTATTTCAAGCTTAGTTTTCTTAGTATTCTCTTTTGCAGTTTTTCACTTGTATCGAATTACAACATGCAACAAGCCAAGACTGCTTCAGGGTGCTCAGCCAGGGGTTTCTTTCTGCTTTCTGAGTCAGCACTACTGTTTTCCAGAGGACATGTGTATGAGTTTCCTATTGCTACCGTAACACATTATCTCAAAC